GTCGAAAGATTCAATAAGACCTTGGCCGAGCGTCTCTTTGGGTACCAGTATTGGAAAGAGCTGGAGGATCCCTCTAAACGCAACAGGGAATGGACTCAGAGGCTCCCCCAGGTCGTCGCGGCTTTAAATAACGAGGCAGCCAGGGCTACGGGAATGAAACCCAAGGATGCTATGAAAAAGAAACACGTGGAACACAAGTCCTACGTCAGAAGTTTGAGGGCGGTCGGACTGAAGGAAAAAAAGCTCCCCCGCAACATAGTGGTCAGATACCTGTATCAGCCGGGGGAACTCGAAGGTGGCAGTAAGAGAGCCAAGGATCCTAACTGGTCCCTGGAAACGTATGAGATTTCAAAGTCCGTCACCAAGGAAGGGCAACCCGTTTTGTATTACCTAGATGGCCCAAGCCGTGGATTCGTCAAGGCAGAGCTGCTCATAGTCCCCAAAGACTCAGAGTAGTGCTGCTCCACGCGCCCGATTACACTCTAGGCATGTCAGTCTTACGTTACCTCTGCAATGCCCGCGCTTGTTGTTGATACGATCCACGGAGAACTGCTGATCGTCATTTGGGTCAAACCTCCATAGTAGCGGTATGTTACACTTGGCACACCTTACCCCTTTCTTATAGACGTCGTCTACACATAGGTCGAATTTGACCCCTTTTTCTTCGTCGTGCCGCTTGTAGCGAAGGAGTTTCTTAGCAATGTTCTCTTTGGCTACGTCTTCGGGGGTGCGGTCATAATGCAGTTGCGGACCCTAGGCTCTTCTTAGTTGTTTGGCGTACTCCACCCTGCTTACGGCGGTGTAGATAAGGTTGCTGGTCAGCAACCTGACAGCCGCTAGTCTATGATCCATAAGGTTTCTTTTATGGTAAGCCCTTGCGCGCTGTGGACTGTCATGCAATAGCCTAAGCGACAGTCTGGATGGGAGGTTATTTTTTCCACCTTTTCTATGGGTACCCAGGCTTTATCGTGCGTTACTGCGTTCTGCAGTTGGATGTCGGTACCGGGTACGCAAACGTCGCGGCGCTGCAAGCGGGTGTCGTGGGGCTTGTAGCAAACGGGTACGGGATGCGTAGGGAAGCGCTCTTTGTGTATTTTGAGTAAGTCTTTCTGTATGCGAGACTGTGCTGCGCGCTTACTACTTAACACCAGCTCTTTGGGATGCCAGGCGTATAGGAAGTCCTCGTAGGACTTCGCTCGTACGCGTTTGCGCAGCGTCTTGCATTGCTCGGCGTCACTGAGGCCCCGCAGTTCAGCTTTTAAGTTACGTATTTGATCCTTGCTGCGGTAGTCGGTGTTAATTTCCTCCGCATGGTCTACTAGATCTTTTAACCATTCGTGGGGCATCTCTCCGGCTATTGGAGGAGGCTGGCAGGGATCTCCGGCAAATATTACTTGACATTTCCCTCGTAGGAATTCTACGAATTCTTTGAGGATTTCTAAAGGAACGGTGCAAATCTCATCCCAAAGTATCACCGGTGGTATGTTGTGAATAGCTTCCGGTACCCACTTTTGGCCATTCCAACGAAAGAAACTGTGGTAAGTCTGTGCATCGTGGCCCATTTCGCAGAGTTCTCTTTCCAAACGATGCGTTGGCGTTTGCACCTTTATCTTAGGAAAGAGTTCTAACACACGCGTCGTCTTACCGCTGACTCCCGTACCGTAGAGGTAAGAGAAGCGTTGGTAGGAAATGGGGTCGGCAACTGAAGGTAGAGGCTCTTTGGTAGGCGTTACGGAACCACGGGTGTGCTCGCCGTGATATTCTACACGTGCCCTCCAAGACCTTACCTCCTCATCTTTGACGCGCCATTGGCCATTTTCTGCGAGTTCATCGGCAGTGTAGAATTCCTTCATCTTTTCCAACACGCTAGGCTTTACGTATAAGGAATCCGTGGCTACGCGCGGAACGTCTTCTTTGTCAAACCGCAGGAGCATTGCGAGAAAGTTGATATGCGCGTAGGCAAGCATGCTGGCGCGGAGGTGGTAATATTGCGGTCGATGATCTTGGTAGTAGCATAAAGCATTCCCTTTGCGTTCTTTTTGCTCGGCTTCTATGAAATAGTCCCACTTCTCCACGGAAACCATGGTTCCTTGGTCATGGGCACGCTTGATGAGGAAACGTAACTCACCTTCGTCTGTTATTAGGCGCCTTTGCATGTGTTTCTCGCCTTCTTTGGCGCCCTGGGTGAACTTGCCTATGACGATTCGGGCCGTGGGGTTGTGCTCTGGGAGCCACGTCGTGTAGGCGCTATGGCAAAGTATGGCTTTATGCGCAGCGTACGTGAGAAGTTGGCGCTCTTCAAGGAATTTTAGCAGCGGTATGGGTATCTATTCTTTGTCCTGCAGATGCTTACCATACCAAGCGTAGATTATAGGATGTAAGTCTTTAGCTAACTTCCAAGACGTTAATCTAACGAATCCTGTAGCTGGCGCGTCGTAGGTGCCGCCGTCTAAAGACACACGAAAGAATTGAGAGTCTGGATGCCCGTATCTATCGTAATATTCCTTACAATCTCCTAAGCCCTTGAAAGATGCTGGGTAACAATGTTTCATATCTAACGAGACATACTCGTCTTCGTTGTATTCCATGTTCCAAAGACTTCCATGACCGTGTTCTACGCACGCTTTGGAGATATCTTTGAACTCTTTTGGGGTAGGTTTCCAGCCGTTTCTCTTCTTGGCAGCTAAGAAGTCTAAGCTGCGGGAGCTAAGGACCTCGTCTGAGAAGTCTTCCCCAAGGGTTTCGCAGGCGCTCTGGATGCGCAGATGTTCGATTTCGGGGCGGTAAAGAGTACCATCTTGMGTCATAAACTGGCTTCCTTCGGGATCCATCAGCCAAACGGAGTTCTCGTGGATTAAGTCTACCAATGGGGAAGTTTCATAGACCTTAGTCTCTTTCTTTTTAAGGAACCGAAGTTCTCGCCAAGCGTGTCCGTTGTGTTGGTAGATAATAATAGGAGCGCCTCTGCCTCCATATTTGTGAGTTCCTGGGTAGACGTACCCGTCTGTTATGTCTTTCACGTGTATTCGTCTTTCTAGGGCAGTTTCTAATTTCTAAATGGTGTCTATCGTTGCTCCAGCCCTATGAGTAGCGTCTTCCCATCTCCTGATGGCTTCTCTCCTCTTTGGGGTAAGCTTACCACCACGAGAGGAATCCTCAAAGAACTCCCTCACCAACTTACCCACGCAGTTGCCGGGATGTCTCATCGGCCTGAGTTTCCTAACGTCTGGCTCTTCAATCTCATACGCGCCGTAGATAACTACAGTAACAGGATAAGCAACTTCGTAGAATAACGCGTCTATACCCACCATCGCACCAGGTCTCGTATCCTTGTTTAATACGAACAGGTTCTGCTTACCTGACGCCCGGATAGGATTACGACCCCTTTCCATTACCCAATCGCCATCTAAATACTTTATGAACGTCAATTCAAGACGGTAATTACCTTCTGGCATTAAGTTGATTATCTTCTCAGCCCTTTCCTCATTCATGGTTTCATCTGTATCTCCTTCCATAAATGTCGTGAAGGAGAAGTTGGCATCCAAACGATCCAACACCCGAGTTCGCAGCCTACGTACAGTTTCGTTTCGAATGCGTGCAATGGCGTCCATCTATATCTAGGAAATATTTTAACCTTCGTTTGCGACCCTACAAGATATTTGATGGGATCTTAAATTCCCTCCCGCAGGAGCAACTTAAAATCCCATCAAGCTTCCCTTGTAGTTTCCTTATATATTCCTCGTTGTCATTAGAAAACTCATGCGTCATCATACACGTTACTTTCATATCACATGGGACTTTCCTACGCAAATGGGAAATTAAGCCACCTTTTGTGTAACCTTTATTACATTTTGGACAAACAAACTTACCACTCATTATATATTTAAGGGCATTTTATGCTCAATTAAAGGTACATTTTAACAGACACATAGATCTTGCAAACACAGCAGCAGTAAGGGAATTATCGCGCAACGTGGGTAATACCCGATGCGGCCGCATACATTTAGAGGGGCCTGAAACGCAGGTAATACCCGTGAAATTCTATGCTTAGTGACTCGGATTTCGCGAGTCCCCCTACCTGCTGCTGAGTGGAATCATGTTGTGTTATATACACTATGCTAAATAATGTAATTAAAAATGCAACAGCAAAACTTAGAATGTACACAACACAATACAGTATAAAAACTTGCATACACACACACACACACACACACACACACACAGGCTGTCATCCAAATCAATCTTGTACATTGGATGCTTACATGGATAAATTTCAGCCTAGTGCAGGTTCTTAGTAATAATTTTTTGGCTGATTGTGTTTTGTAGTTTTTTTACTGTATACTGTAATAATAAGGCAAACTCAAAAATACTATGACTTTGCAAAATTTATACTACGTAAATAAGAGTTCATATTAAGCAAAGTACTGTGTATATACAGTCTGTAACTATTCATTTCTTTGTAGGCTGTCATAGTTTATTCCACACTTCCCAATTCGCTCTAGGCCGTGCTTTACACGGGGATAAGCAAGTTCTAGCAACAGGAAATTATCATAAAACTTTTGTAGTTGAGGGATTCTCACCTTCCAAAATTCTTCACCATAAGTTACTCTGTAAATGAAAAGGGATTCCCCATGTGATGCCACAAAATCTCCCCATGCTCTTTCTGTGCAGAGTAGCTGTTGCTGTACKTGATAAAAATATCTGTGGGTTTTATTCAAGATCATCTCATTGGTGTCTCCATCCAGCCTACAAATATGCTGTCTTAGTAAGGCTTCTTGCAGGGTCTCATTTTCTSTTGGATGAATTTKTTTCACTTCAATKAGACCATCATYACCAGCCAAGCCATCAKGTGATGCCCCAAGGAATGGATATTGTTTGGAAATAAAAAACCCACATTTACCAACTGTTACTCCTTTGTTTTCTGAGTACTTTAGTATTATATCTGGTTCAGATGCCAATCCGTCTTCCATGTTAAGGGATCTTGGTATAAATTTATAGCTAAGTATATCTTCAATAGCTTTAGTAGGACTTGTTGTAGGCTTAATGAAAGCTCTCTTCACTTTTGAAGCTGTTATTCTAGGTTTTCTGTATCTAAACCAAGCTTCAGAGTTGCTTTGTTCTCGTGTTTCTTCTTCAATTCTCTTCACCTCTTCATCAGAAACATTTAATTTGCGTTTTATCTTATCAGCTCTTTCTCTTATGTCATGCAAAGAAGGTGGTTGGGATTTCAGGAGGCTGATTATATCATCATGTTGCAAACAAGTTGCTGGGAGAGTAGTTGATTTCACTGGAGTACTGTCTTTAATTTCTATTTCTATCACACCAAACTCATTAYCTACTGCATCATGATACCCACTCTGCTCAATATTTTTGACAGATTCTTTTTTAGGGCTGAAATTAATCAAGTGAAAAATTGGAGGAAGAGCATCCCTTTTATTTGACTGAAATATTTTTTGTTTTAAATCTTGTTTTCGTTGTAAGTCATCTCCCTCTGTTTTATGATCTTTGTATACACAATCAGCAAAGCTAGCAGATATCCTTAACTTCTTTCCCGGGGGCTCTTTGCCAAATGTTGACTTATAAACATGTATTTCTTCAACCAACTTTGGATCACAATTTGCTCCTTTAGGATCAGACCATTTACATTTTACTTCAGTACAGGTAGGATCAGGGGGTAACTCATGTAAACCCTCTGCAATGATGTCACATAAAACAAAAAGCACAGCACCAACATGACTACAGTCACCCCTTAGACCAACAGTGCAAGTACAGTGAGTAAAGACAGGAAGCGCTGTGTTCATATCAAATACAATATAAATCAGTTGTTTTTCTTCATTATCGGTCGAAAAAGATGGATTACAGCAAGCACGAACAGCACATTGTTTGAGCACTTGATCTTGTAATGGAAGAACTTGAAATCTATAAAAACCAAGGGAAATAAAGCATATCAATAAATGTATCCTGTTTTTAGCAGTGTTACGAATTAAAAATTAAATTACAGAAACAAAACAACTCAAGTTGCATAAGTTTAAAATATAGTTACAAACCTTAGCGAATGGATTCCCTCCTTGTGCTGCCATGCTCTGAGTGTTTTGTATTTTTTTAATTCCTTGCCATTAAAGCCTTTCCCTAACAAGAAGCTTTTGACTACTTGAATATCCAAATTATCAGGAAATCCATCTAGAGACTTTTTCCAATTCGAGAGCTTTTGGAGATAGGTCAAGGAAATAGTTCCATTCTTGGTATCGGAAGAAACATCACTCTGGTTCGAAGTGGGAGTCTTTGCTTTTGGATCACAAGTAGAAATGCCAAGCTCCGTACAAACAATGTTTATCAAAGCTTTTTTGCTGAAACCTTGACAAGGACAATTGTGATTCCTACAAATCTTTTTAAAGTCATTTTTTCGTAGTTTCGCAACATTTGAATACGTTTTTAGACTACATTCAAAGTTCCCGGGCACTGACGCCATGTTTGTGTTCATCTGCCTGCCCCCAAAGGCGCAAAGGATTATGGGAATGTGAAAATAGAGAATTGAGCAGACCCCCCCAAGTCAACGAAGAAAGTGGAAGGGAACCGTGAACAAATAATTAAAAGGGCGCGAAAACACGTGGAAGTATTGGCGGTCACAGAGTGCACAATCTGAATAACCATCATGAACTTCTTAATCCCCTAATCACGGCACTAAGCATATTCTAATTCCCTCGTGGTTTACACAGTTTTGGAATGAAATGTTTACAAAAACGCATCAACTCATGGCCGGTAAATTAAATGCTCTGTGATGGACTCCAGAATTCATGTCTATTTGAACCCGAAAATTCTGCATTTCGAGCATGAATATCGAAGTCTGCGCCTAGCCGAGTTCCTTGAACTCCACGCACACAAATATTCTCAAGTTTTTTCGTGAGCTAGCCGAGTTCCCTGAACTCCAGCCCTACACCAAATTCTCAAGTTTTCTCGTGAGCTAGCCGAGTTCCCTGAACTCCAGGCCTACACAAATATTCTTAAGTCTTTCGAGCTTGTTCGAGCTGGACGAGTTCCCTGGACTCCAAGTACAAACATTCTCAAATCGTCTTGTGAGCTAGCCGAGTTCCCAGAACTCCAGGCACAATAATCTCTGTCTGCTTTCTAGAAGTCGCCAAGCACGCCACGTGAGCTCTCAGTACAAATGATATCTTTGAAATTCTCTTTGCACCGGTAAAACGAAACAAATGGATACAACAAACCCAAACTTTGTCCCACGATACCTACCGTCAGCATAAGCGCCTCAAGTCACGTCTGTGTTTCATCAGCATGCATAAAGCACTAGAATGTTGGCTTCAGGCTGGTGGCGGTGGTGGGGACAGCGAGCAAAATTCGTACTTCGAAGGTCCAAACGACGTTATGCAATGAGTCATGTGTTTTGACTTAATTTATACTACTTGGTGATACTTTATTCAGTGAGAATAGTAAATATACAATCAATTGCAGAATATAAATATACTGGCCCTTGATTGCAGAAAGATAGTATACATTTACACATATATCTTAATGAGATGCATTAAAAAAATTCCCCAAGAAGGGCCCCCCCCCCTTGATTTTTTCCAGACTCCCCCCCCTACCACGAAGGCCCTTAATTTTTTTTATCGAATTCGTTTATCAATACTGAATTGACTGTGTCACAACATACGCAGCAGTGTTCCTTATTTTGATAAACTATTGCAATTCCTTTGACGCCACAGATAAGACATCTTTATTTGTTCCAGGACACATTTCGTTAATCTAAACGTGGATGTGTAGAATTAAGCAAATGTCAACACAAGTGAATGTTTTATGTTTTCTCCTTATATTTTGTTTTAAGTCTCGCTGTCTACGTAAGTACACTCAATATATAGAAGATTTTGCATCTTTAATTTTTGCCACCGTTATTGATAATTAAGTAATTCTACCTTTGATTCTAGTTCTAAATATAATATTTCAGTGTGTGTATATGTGTGTATGTGTGTTTACAGACTGTATGAAAGCCATAACAGTACCTGGAACTTTCCAAAATGTYGTACTCGGTCAAAACAGTACTAATGTCAAACTAACATGGACGATCGACCTCGAAGGGCAACCCTTCAGTCAACTGAAAATCTCRAGGTATAAGGAAAATGATCCTGCCAGAACACAGAAAAATTTAGGTCTTCTGTACAGCAGTAATCGTGCAGCAGTTTCAAGTTCAGCATACAGTCTAAATGCAAGCAAGCTTTCCTCGCCTGTGTATGCTACTCTCACGATCAAGGACGTTCTGAACCAGAGCAGAAATTTCGATGGTTCWGAGGTAGACGTACTGAAAAATACGTATGTGTTCAAAATKGAAGTTGATGTAGAGAATCCATCAGTACTTACGTTGGTGGATACGGTCAAGTTGCAAGTATTTGGTAAGGAAAAACAATATTGCATTTCAATTATTTTGAATAATTTTAACCTTATTTCGAGAACTCTGCATCCGTGACCTAGACGCTGAAAATTTGAGTTTCGCTTCCGTCTATTAGATTCGATCGGTACTTCTGGCTTTTATATTTGACTGAAATAAAAACAAAACTCCAGCTGATAATTGACATATGACAACTGCGGTACTTTACAACGCGTAACGATGAAAATTGCTGTAAATAATAACATTCCCTAAATCCAATTGTGTAATATTGTATAATTAATATCGTGTAATGTATGCATGTAAACATTTGTCCATTTTAACAACTTAAAGTATATATAATACGTTAGCCATTGCCCCATCTGGCCTGAAAAATTCTTTCGGACCCTTCACTTTCCAGTCCTTCACTTTCCAAACAACTAATGCCCGCAGGTCTCAAGAACAGATTTTAGTGTGGTGCTTTTTGGATATCTCTGGTTGAGTGGTTCGCTCTTCGCAAAACTAGTAGTCAAAGATTGCTTCAAAAGTCACGCTCGGCAAAATCATTCTCAGGTAGCCTAGGGGCGCTAGGACAGACGGATTAGGTTATATATCGGTGTGTTTGTTTCACTTTTTCGTAGATACTACAGTAAATAGAGTTTACTGATATATGTTTGGTTCTAAATACTTAATAGACTAAATAGGTCTCACTTATCTTCAAACGTCCTTTTCAACCAACGGTCTTTCTGCTTTGAATCAGCTGTATTTCTGGCCCGCGCTCTGAGTATTTACCGCTGAAATATCCGTGCCAAGCATCGCCGGCGTAGTTACGTTAGCGATTACTTTATTTAAATAAAAAAACTGAAGGTAAATTTTGATTAACTTATTGCGCCCTTTAGCAAACTAAAGAGATTGGCCCCTCTTTTGTGGGGTTATGGTAATGGGGGGTCATGGTCGCTTTTATATATTTTTTGATATTTTTAGTATTTTCAATATTTTTAATAATAATAATAATAATAATAATAATACATGTTTTAAGGATTTGGGTGCCCTGTGGTATTCTACTGTTTAGTTTTTCCTCAACAACTAGTTCAGTGCTGATCACTACATCATATACAATATATTATTATTCATACTTACATTGAATAGACGGTGTTAATATGTACATTAAGATTATTATGTAGTAAGTGTTTTGATCATGACAAGAAGTATACCACTGTTCTGGGGATTTCTCTGGTTCCGATGCTATGCAGGTATGGCGTTAATGACGTAATTTCCGTTCATTAAATCATGGTATTCTAAGAAATGTTGTACCCTTAAGTGAAAAGTATACATGACTTAGTAGCTGTCGTCTACTTTTCAATATTATCTCAAGATGGAGCAAAGATTTAGAGTAGAGAGTTGTAGCTTACTGCCGTACGAGTAGTATAGGGGATGGGGGTTCCAGCGCAACGACCACAGGAGGATTACCCGTCNGTCTTGAATTTATAAAGGCTAAATGTTTTTGGATTTCTTAAAGAATAACTATGTACATTTCGTTTTGGCAGAAGTTTTGTTAATGAACTGTTACTGTCTCTGTTCATTATGTTCCTCAAAATGTATGAAATTGTTTCCATGTTTTTGTAAGGTGTTGCTTTTCCAGAATACTAAAAGCTATGGTATATTTTCTGAAAAAATATAGTGTACTATCTGATCGTGGGGATTATACATAACGAATTTCCAGGGCCAATATGGATTTTTTATTGGTTAATGTGTTTTAACCTTGATAAATTGAGAGTCTTTGCTAATAATTTAATGTTATTTGCAAAACAGGTAATTAAATCCCACTTCCCTGTTTGGCATTGTGATGATATTTTGTTTGTTAATACTGTTAACACTATATTTTTAAGCTAAATTGTGAGTTTATATCTTACATATACTGCGATTCTCAATATTCTGCGAATTCTGTAGTTGGGAGATGTCACACGGATTCAGCTGCATGCTGAACTTTAGTTGTTCGCTGCATGCTGAACTTTAGTTTTTCGCTGCATGCTGAACTATAGTTTTTCGCTGCTGTCATATAAAAAATAATCAGTTTGTACCTGTTATATTTTTGACTGGTGACCTTAAAAGAAAAGGAATTTAACCTTATCAATGCCATCATGACTAGCAAAAGACCAGTTCACAACAAGCCATTAAGATGTCTGATTTTGAATAATATAGAGAATTGCAGTAGTTATACTGACATTGAACAGCTTTATTTCAGTAATTTACTATTAATCACAGCTATCAACGCCGGTTTAACGAATGACAGGACAGCGTATAATAAGATTATAACGATGATCATATTAAAGAAATATTTAGTGCATCATCGTAGAGTAAACAGCGGCATAGCACGGATAACGGGCATAATAAATGACCCCAAAAGGTATGGAGTTATGTTATGTAATTGACTTTTGAGCCGGAACCCCTAAAAGGTCCACACAGGGAACATTTTCAACCCAAAGGAGTGCCCATCACCCCTACCACCTGAACAAAGGGAGTACCCCTGCTGGGCCCTAGTCATTATTGTCCTATGTTAAATATACATATATATAGAATTTATTATAGAATATATTATAGAATAAAAATGAAACCTGATAGATTTAACTATTTCTCAGATGTACTTTTTGTAGTGATAAGCTAAACTTTGTTTCAAAATTACAATAATAAACTCAATTGACTTAATGAATGTTGAATGAAAGTGAAGTAAGAGTTAATAAATCTGACTAGATATCTTGCCTCAGAATTAAGGCCATAAAAATATTTTAAGTAGCCATGTGGGTTTACTTGGATTCTTGCAAAATAATACAGGATTGCACAATTTTTCATATGTCAGCATTACTACATTAATTAGGTGACTACTTTTTGTCGCCTTTGTACAAGTGGTAACACCATTTTGACAATATATATGGGTTGTGATATCCATATTAGCCATTATGGCAATATGATTTTGTGGTTTATATATTATATTATTGTCTTGTGAGTTAGATCATCTATCATAATGTAGTGTTAACGTTATAAGGTCAAAAGTCCAGTGACAAATGAATGTAAATTCTAAATTTCTCTGTGCTCTCTAAATAAATATAAATAAGATATTTTTACTACTTATATACAAAGTAGGGTTTAAAGCTAGAAGTTTGTGAGGCCCTATATGTCATCATTACACACTCATGTTACTACATTCAAATATATTCTATAACCACAACTCTCAACTCACTTGTCATTTTTTACCTTTTCCAGAAATGTCTCAATAGCACATTTCTATGATTTTTGTGATATGTTCATTCCCATTTAGTTATCATTAACATATATCATTTACTTTATGCATGAAAGGCAGCAAATTAGTTAGTTATATGCAGGATGCTTAGCTTTCTGAAGGGACTGTGTTTTTATGTATGTCTTACCAACCTGCAGCATCACTAGCTATATATAATTTAAAGTATAAATTTTCACTTTGAAAATTATTTAGTCTACTAGAAGACTGAATTATATATATTTATAGTGCCTGTTATATTATATAGTTATATTTGTAACTACCAAACTGTCTTACTAAAAATCATGATTTATTGCTTTGAACGTCAAGATATAGCATACTAATATTTATAATGATTAGTTGCATGACAAATATTTCATGTTTACAGTCGGGCCGCTATTGTTTTCATCTTGAGTCAAGATCTCCTATCGATCCTGCTGTTATGTCTATGTTTCATATGCAAATCAAGCAATGTCTTATAACTTCCTGTTTTATATCCTTCAATTTTTGTTACAAAATGCTTTCTAGAAGAAAAAAATCAGAAAATCAGCATCCATTTAC